TATATATATATATATATGTATCACGCTCTGCTCATCTGCTCATTAAAATCACAAACCCCAGTTTGGAAACCTTGATATAATGTTTAATGCACTTAATGTTGTTAATAACAAAGAGAACATAGTTTATTTCCGTTTGTACTTTTATATCAATATGGTACACAATTATCCTATTTAAATCAATATGATAAAGGAGTTAGGTCATAAGCAATCTAAAAATAATCAAAAAGTAGTCCTATTTTATCACCTCAAATGTGTAATGTAATGGTTTATGCTACTAACTATTTTTGCCCTGTAATTTGGAATCAGTAATGGACTTGTAAGTAATCTACCCAGCACTGCTCATAGATCAGTATGAAATCTGTGTAAGGGCTGCACAAATGTCAACTCCACATCTCCACTAACTTCCAAAACATCAATCTCCTCCAGTTTAGTGAAACGATGGCTGTAAGTGTGAGTTTGTTCACCATTCACAAACACCTTGTAATGATCATGACTGGAGAAAATGGTGACCTGAAATGCACATAGAAGACAAAGACGATTTTTCCCCAAACTCTACTGCATAGTAATTTTCCAGTGTATTTACAATCATATTCACCATTGTCCATCTGAATAAAGCATACGTTCATGAATCATAAAGTCATATGTTTGCTTACCTGCATCGGTTCCCCTCTTTTTAACAGCACAACTTCAGATCGTTCCTCATTTCCCCATGTCCCATCCTCATAGCTGTTGCACACAACCACATTCTCATCTTAAAAGATACTGTAGTAAAATGCAATTCCGGTTTTGTGTCGTAGACTAATCTCCATTCTGTCACAGAAAGAAGAGGAAATTACTTCTTTTAAAAACATCTCAGTTTCTCTGATCAGATGGAAGCTGGCATTGTCTTATTTCAAGATGATTTATTATGTTGCCTATTATCTGTGAAAGAATGATATTGTCAAACCTGTTTCCCCCGGGATTGAGAAATCCTTGGATGATGAAGATCTTTCCAGGATGTACTCCACCACAGAAGGTGCTTTTATACGGCACCATCTGATTGTAATTAAATATATTTTTATATATTGCAATGTAATACTGTATAGCACATTAACTGCTTAGACCCTTACCCTTGCCAACTTTACATAATAAAATAATCGCCAACACTTAATAAAAAAGTATTTAAATTCTTAAAATAATGTATTTTAAGTGACACTTCAATATATTAAATAATATGTAGAGCTCTGGTCAAAAGAAACCATTTGTCAAAAAAAAAAAAATCACAAATTAATCATCAGAAAGTTTTTTTTTTTTTGTAAGCCACACTGTTGTATCATTCGTGAATATAAATGCTTAAGAGCATCAAATAAGTAATGAAAGTGCTAGACAGATTCCACTCATTCACATACACATGTACACTCTTGATATAGATGTCACAGAGTTATTAGAGATTCATGCAGATAAGCTGTCTACCAAAGATTTCAGATAACTTACAAAAGATCCTAGAGGTGCAGCATAACAGGGCTGTAAATGGAGAAACAAAAAAAATGTAAAAAAAAGTATAGCAGTGGTAATACATGCATACGAATAATATAGGTTTGGTTTAAAAACTGATAGGGACATGTTGCTTGGCAGGAAACAACCATTTCATCTGTAATACATACTTTTTTGTGATCACTGTGAATATTGTCATAATATTGTTAACTGAATATTTATAATGTCTATTCTTTCTAATTTGGTGATTTTATTGTATTGTGTACGGTGTATGTTCAAATGCAATATTTGTATAGTGTTAATAATGTTTACATTCTTCACCAGTGTCCAGTCTGTATTTAGTGTATTGTATGGTCTGCATAATGTTGTTATCTGACTGCTAATGCAGCCCAATTTTCCCCCACAAGATCAATAAAGAACCTTGATATATATCAAAATAAGAACAAATACACACTGATATTGGTATATACCTAATAGTGGTGAAGTGGTAAAGTACTTTTTTTTTCTCACCACAGGATACTGGAAAGCAACTAAACTCAGTTCCACCATTCCACCAATGCAGATGCTGTCCACATGGGAGAACGGCATACGGTGCTTGTACTCGGAGAAGGGTTTCCCATTGGTACTTATCTAGAAAAAAAAGCCAAAAACATTGGTTTATTGTCCTATCCAATAAAAAGTAGGCCTGTAGTTCCATATTAATTATGAAATATGAAATATGAAATAATGACCTTGTACGTCTCCTGGGTGACGAGGATCTGCAGAGCAAACATCTGGCCTCTCGGGAAGGGAGTTTCATACTTGCGTTCCTCTGAGCCCCAGTGACCATACTGGCAGGTGTTGTGCACAACGTATTCAGATCCTCCCACATAGCGAAGGTTAAAGTGCAGAACAATATCAGACCCGTGCATGAGGTCCACCTGGAATCTGGAGAAAACAGAATCGAGAGAAGCAGAACAAAAGCTGTACATGTCAAATGCAAAAAGATATAGTTTATGAAAAAAACAAATAAACGCATTGCAGCTGATCTTCTATTTATAACCCTCTAGCTTGAACCAAGAAAGTTAGCATTTGCTTTGACTCTATTAAAAAATCATCTATAGCATAAAGAGGTGCAAAATACAACAAAAATCTTTCTGGCGATCCTATGGTTGACGGGATGACAAAGGCCATTCATATCCTTACAGAGAGACTGTTACCCACCTGCTGGAATGTGGGGAAACTCGTCCACATACAGTAACAATCATGCCATCCAACAATGCTCCATGGATCGGTCTGCTGAATGGGACAGTCTGTGTGGAAGATTTTCATACCAGACCTCTCATAAAATGAGATTATTAACATTCTTATTATTCTTATTATTAAGAATGTTAATGGTAACAGTTCATTTTGATAGTCCACTTGAGACATTCTACTAACTATAAGTAACTTTGCAAGTACCTGTGAATGTCAACTTATTCTACTGACCCTAACAGTCTACTAATACTCTGAGGTATTTGCTTTAAAAAAAAAAAAAAAAACCGTATATTTAAATAATTGGTCACTTACCGAGTTGAAAAATGGCAGTTGCTGAAACAGAGTCATTGTGTCAAAACTTGCTCTCCTCCAGCCTTACAAAATGTCCAGCATCTACAGTTTGGTTAATTTAACTGAAGGTCCACATTGTTAATGTTTAGTGTTGGTGTATTTATAATGAGGCCCAAGTGCACCATTTCTGTTTTGTTTGCATATATTGATTGAAGAATAACACAAGCCAAATGTGACACATTGTGGCTTGATTTCTTTTATTAATGTTCACGTCTTATGACCAAAATAACCCATAATTATTCACAATGAGGAGCTTAAAGGTTACAAAACCAAGCTCATGTAGTTGTCAGACACATGTTAAAAACTCATTAACACATAAAAATATAAAATCAAATAAAAAACAACGATAAAAAAAAAAAATGTAATTGCACTTACAATGATGTGGACACTTTATTGTTTTACATAAACAACGTAGGTTATCATTCGTAAATCGTTGTTGTAGAGCAACACGTGCAAGTGACTACTTGGTGTCACAGTGGAGACGGGTGTCTAATTGTTTCGAAGCCTCGACACAATTCGGCACATTTGCTTCAACTGTTTCAGTGAAGTCTGCGGTATCATCATCCAGGGAGTCATCAGTCCTAAAGAAATCAGGTTTGACAGTATAATTTCTCATACATCTACTGTTTGCTTTTTAAACAATGGGATTTGAAAAAAGCAATTAAAGTTCTGTGCCGTAGACTACTCTGTTGGTGAAAGAAAGTGAGAGGAAATAATATATATATAACATATAATAATAATTCAATGATCAGGTAGATGTGTCATTATGACATCCCAACAGTATTAAAGAATATTTAAAAGCATTTGTGTGTGTGTGCCTGACTGCTATTCCCTACGTTATGGGGACCAAATGCCCCCACAAGGACAGTAATACCAGTAAATCGTGTCCTTGTGGGGATGTTTTTTGATCCCCATGAAGAAACAAGCTTATAAATCATACAGAATGAAGTTTTTTGATAATCTAAAAATGCAAAAAGTTTTGTTTGAGGGATAGGGTTAGGGTAAGGGGATAGAAAATACCTATGCCTATATAGAGACCCCATAATGATAGGAATACCTCTGTCTCTGTGTATGTGTGTGTGTGTGTACCTTTTCCATTAGAGGGCAATATTTGCCAGTAGCGGCAAGCTGGCAATATTTGTTGCTTTAAGCACTGAAGTGAGTCACTGGTATTGTTTTGAATGTGCCCAACCGTATTTTTATTAAATCATCCTTCCTATTATATTTAATAGATTACACATTGATAAAAACAGAAGTCGATAAGAATGAGAAAATGATACATTTTGCTCAAATTTGACTGAGTAAAATCAGCTTACCAATTGCGTGTCAACACATATGCTGCTGCTCCAGTTAAACAAAAAGCCACACCTCAAGATCAGAAGGGTCAAAAACGTGTTCAGAGTGTTTGCATAGGCTTTATAGCCTTTATATAAAATATGTTTCAGTAAATCAGTAACCATTATGCATTCAAAGCTGTGTTATAAATTCTACTTGAACAGGAAGGACTCTTTAGTTTTTTTTTTTAATCTGCCAAAGAAACAAAGATTATCGTGAGAACGCTGTGAACAAGGGAAAGCATTAAGAATCATGCATTGTTTTTCCTGCTTACCCTGAGAGAAAA